TGTAATGTTCCCTACCCACTTGTAAACTAATTATTTATTTAAGTTTATATGTATCACCCAGTAGTTGTCATTTGAAGATATAAGATACACTAAACACTCTGTACCGAAAGAAGGAGCCATTTTATCTTTCTTCTTCCGGTAACAGCTAAAACGAGGAGACGTGCCAGAAAAATAGTAAGAAATAAATCGAAGTATATAAAAAGACATCTTTGCAATTTTAAAGACTGCGTTATAGCCTCAGGTGTGGGGTGCTACCCGCCAATATTTAAACATTTTATTTATTAAATAAACCTTCTAACAAGGGAAAATTTCAACAAATGCCGTCGACACGTTCCGCAGGGAAAATGACTTGAGGTAAAGATGAATTAAAGCAAAGCAGTGAAGGTGGCCCACCTATTACATCAAACACTGAGTCGCATACAATGAAATCAGCCAATGCACATAAGGCTATTGAAGACAGCTCCAATATCGTGCCTGCTCCTGCATCCCCTGGTGCTCCTGCCGTCATTTTATCTGCTGCCCTGACACCTGGAGTACCTGGTGCCTCCGCCGCCAACCAACCTGCTGTACCTCGTGCCTCCGCCGCCAAATTACCTGGTGCCCCCGCCGCCAACTTATCTGCTGTTCCTGCTACCACGTCACATGATTTGCCTGCTGTTCCTGCCGCTGCCGAACCTTATGTGCCAGCTCCTGCTACCAATGTTCCTAATGTTCCAGTTTCTGCCGTCTCTGATGGGACCGCGTTTGATGGTCCCTCTGCTGTTATATCTAATACCGCTGTAAACCATGTTGCCGGGAATGGCACCACAGAATTTTCCTCATGCGAGTCTGTCGCCCAATCCGCTTTCTCCGTATTGAGTCGCACCGTTGGTTCCGATACCGCCACTGAATTAGGCACCGCAACTCCGATTGGAGATATCAATAAGCTAGAAGAGCAGTTGAAAATTTTAAGACTACGTCGCGAATTGATGGAGCTGCAAGGTCAAGTTCAACAAATAGAAACTTATCCGGGCGTGCGCCTAGGTAAATATATACATTTTGACGAACTCGATGCGGCAGTTCCAAAGTTTAGTGGCGACAACCATTATGACATAAATCGGTGGTATTTGCAATTCGAGGACTATGCTGATGCCAATAATTACAATGAAAGACATAGGTGTCTAGCACTACGACGATGCATGTCTGGGACAGCAAAAGAATTTCTACTTAACCAAGGACTTGTTGATTATTCAACGTTGAAGTCGTTGCTATGTGCAATGTTTCGACGCAATTGTTCGCGGCAGGAGGTTTACCGGCAGCTACGATCACGCAAACTAAAATCGTCAGAGTCTTGTGTTAGTTACATTGTGGCAATGCAGTCCATTGCCGCCCAGTCGGAAATACCAGAGCAGGAGCTAATTGATATAGTAATAGATGGCATACCTGACAACAGTAACAACATAAGTATCCTGTATGGCGCTAATACAGTGAGTGAATTAGTAAGGCGAATGGAACGCTACGAACAGCGTCGCCAGAATATTGCATTGCGTAAACCGTCGGCCACTGTTGTTTCACGCACGGAAGCAAAGTCGACCGTCACCGAAGATCTCTCAACAGTGCGCTGCTTCAACTGTTCGCGATTCGGTCACTATCAGAGCAGCTGTCCAAAGCCACAACGACCAGTAGGTTCCTGCTTCATCTGTCACCAGCTCGGACACATGCATCGGAATTGCCCGAAGAAGAAGAGCCAACCCACTCATGTTGCAGCTATTTCCGCGGAGGACTATAATTACTTAGAAACTAGGCAAGAGGTAAGTGTGGCCTTTTATGAACAAAATCGAAACAGATGGTCAGGTTTTATAAATATTATTTCTCTTTTTGATTCTGGTAGTTTGATTAATATAATGCAAAAATCCGTTGCTGAAAGATTTTTAAAACCGTCGCCTACTGCGATACCTCCAAAATTTGTTGGCATTGGTAAAAGCAGAATCTACTCATTTGGCACAATATTGTGCGCAGTAAAATTTCGTGGAAAAGTTGGAAACATAAACGTGATGATGGTTCCAGATGAAACATTAAATATACCACTAATTCTTGGTCAAGACTTTTTGCTAAAATTTAATATTCACTTAACGCAAATAAGTCATATAAGAAATGAATTTAAAAACAAAGTACAACAAAATAAATATTTGGAAAATGTATCTACTAAGAGAAATGAAGTTAATAAAAATAGTTTGAAACCTAATTGTACATCTGATTCGATTATTATTAAAACTGTTGATGGTGACTGTAGTGATAAATCGGTTGTTAATAAGCATGAATTAAATGAAGTGTCAGGTAAATGTGTTCATAAACATGATGAAAAACAAAACTTAGGAGAGGCGGACAACTATTTTGATATTGAAACTGATTCGTTTGAGTTGGCAGTGAGGGAAATAAGTGCTATTGATGAGAGTGTAATTCGGTCAGAAATAGATATAGGGCCCGGTCTGAATGAATGTGAACGAGACGCCGTAACGGAAGTTTTGGCTAGAGAATATTTGGCTCCCACACTGAGTGAGAAGAAACCTTATGACTATAAAATGACCATCCGAACAACCGACGATACACCTTTTTATTGTTTGCCAAGACGATTATCCTTCAGAGACAAAGAAGAGGTTCAAAGGATTACTAATGACCTAATTAAACGTCAAATCATACGGCCCAGCAACTCCCCTTATGCTTCTGCTATTGTTTTGGTAAAGAAAAAGAATGGAGAAACGCGTATGTGCATTGATTATAGGGCTCTTAATAGGAAAACGATTCGGGACAATTTCCCGTTGTCTTTAATAGATGATTGTATTGAGTATATGTCAGGGAAAAAGTGGTTTACGCTTTTGGACTTGAAGGATGGGTTTAATCAATTAGCAATGGATGAGAGTTCTATTCCGTTAACATCTTTCGTCACGCCACACGGACAATTCGAATACCTTAGAATGCCATTTGGGTTAAAGAATGCACCAGCTAATTTTCAGAGATTCGTGTATAATATCTTTAGGGACTTGATAGATGCAAGAGAAATCATTGTATATATTGATGATATATTAATAGCTTCCAACAACCTTGAATGTCACATTAAGACCCTAGGAAAAGTTCTTAAGAGAGCTTATGAAAAAAATTTGGAGCTTAAGCTTGGGAAGTGCAAGTTTTGTTACAACGTAATTGAGTACCTAGGTTACCTCGTCACTCCATCAGGAATACAACCATCGAAGTCCCATATTAAAGCAATTGCAAACTACCCGATTCCGAAGAATCAAAAAGAGCTTCGTTCTTGTATTGGCTTGTTTTCCTACTTCCGAAAATTTGTACCTTCCTTTTCAAAAATTGCCAAGCCACTTTTGGATTTGCTACGCAAAGATGCCGAATTCATATTTTCGAAAGATTGTTTAACAGCATTTAGGGACTTAAGAAATAGTTTAGTTAGTGCACCGTTGTTAGCAATATATGACCGAAATCGTGAAACACAACTCCATTGTGATGCTAGCAGTCATGGTTTTGGATCTGTTTTGTTACAAAAACAGGACGACGGCAAATTTCATCCAATTGCATATTTTTCCAAAACAACTACACCAGCTGAGTCGAGATATCACAGCTTCGAGCTGGAAACACTATCGATCATTTATGCTCTTCGCAGATTTAGAATATATTTAGAAGGTGTACCATTTAAAATTATTACAGATTGTAACTCGTTGACTATGACCTTAAACAAAAAACAGATTAATCCTCGGATAGCCCGATGGGCGCTAGAGTTAGAAAATTTTGACTACTCTATCCAGCACCGTGTCGGAGTCAACCTTGGCCATGTAGATGCTTTGAGTAGAAGTCCGTTATTGGAAAAGGAATATGATAGTATCAATTCAGTTCTTAAATATGAAACAAATGACTTTGCAAGTCCTCGGTGCGCTTACCCTGTAGAATCGAAGCTGCTGTCTAGCTCTGAACGCCAGATAAGTCATATGAATAAATGTGAGTTAATAGCCGCTGTAGATTTGGATGACTTGGATGTTCAGATACAAATCGCACAGAATCGGGATGAGAAGCTCAGGGTACTTATGAGTAAATTAGAGAAGGAGGAGGTTGTAGGATATGAACTAGTAGACGGATTAGTATGTCGTAGGATTGGGGCAAGATAATGCTTTGTGTTCCTTTGGAGATGCAAGAAAATGTAATTCGCACAACGCACGAGAAAATCGGTCATTTAGGTACTGAAAAATGTTACAACCAAATACGCAAAGCTTATTGGTTTGAAAATATGAGGGATAAAATCAGCAGATTTATTCAGAATTGTATCAAGTGCATTATATATTCTGCGCCAGCCCGTTCCAATGAGCATAATCTTTTTAGCATTCCTAAAAAACCAATACCATTCGACACCCTCCATTTAGATCACTTCGGTCCTCTACCAGCAATTAAGTCAAAGCGGAAACACATACTAGTTGCTATAGATGCATTCACGAAATTCGTCAAATTATATCCGGTAAATTCTACGAGTACAAAAGAGGTATGTTGCTCACTGGACAAGTATTTCAGCTACTATAGTCGTCCACGACGTATCATAACTGACCGAGGCACTTGTTTTACTTCCCTCGAGTTCAGTAACTTTTTATTGAAAAGAAATATAGGTCATGTGAAGGTTGCAGTGGCATCACCACAGGCAAATGGTCAAGTTGAGAGAGTCAACCGTGTTCTTAAGACAATGTTGAGTAAACTTACTGAGACTATAGACCATGCTGATTGGACTGCGAAATTGTCTCAAGTAGAATATGCGCTAAACAATACTGTCCATAGTACAACCAAACACACTCCAAGTGATTTGCTTTTTGGTGTTAACCAACGGGGTTGCATTGTAGATGAATTTACGGAATGCACTGAAGAAAAACTGTTGGATGAAACGACCAGGGACCTTGAGAAAACCCGACAAAGTGCACTTAGGAATATAGAGCGATCGCAGGATTACAACCTACAATACTTCTTAAAAAATAGTGTCCCCGCAAAGACATACTCGATAGGAGATTTTGTAGTAATTAGGCATGTTGATACCACAGTTGGAACTAATAAGAAATTTATTCAGAAGTATAGAGGCCCTTATATTATACACAAAGTATTGCCGAATGACCGTTATGTTATAAGGGATATAGACAATTGCCAATTGACACATTTACCATATGACGGCGTTATTGAAGCTATAAAAATTCGTAAATGGTGCTCACCAACTAACAATCGTCTCGAGCCTCTTCAGTCACCAACGGCAATAGGTCACACAACCTCAACAAGAACTGTCAGCTGATTGAGGTCAATCGTAAAGTCAGATTGGTCGAGATGTAATGTTCCCTACCCACTTGTAAACTAATTATTTATTTAAGTTTA